CTAGGAATGATGTTTCACATCCCTGTACCTCAGCGTCTTCCACTCTCACTGTTCCAAACAGGTTTCCCCGAATGGCTGGACACTCTCGTTCTTTCGAGGTCCAGCGATGGAATCCGCTTTTCTTGGAGAAGCCTTTCCTGGACACTTGGAGCAGTCACCACTCAGCCCCAGTGCACTCCTTCATGCTCCCATCACACTGCCTTTGTAGTTATGCGTACAAGCTTGTGCTCTCTGCTGAAGAGTAGGCTTTTTGACAGTACAATCTAGGTCAAACCATGCTCATAGATAGCACTTTCATTAGAGCTTGACCCATATCTATTTGTTCACTCTTACGCAAAGCTAAGCACATATAGGTAATTAATAAATCTTTGTTGAGTTTGTGAAAGATAGCAAATACTTAATAAATGTGGGAGGAAGGGAGGAATGGATGGAGATGCAAATGTTAAGTCGTGGCAGAGGAGTTAGACTAAAATTTCCAACTACCTAGGGATTGAAACTTTTTGACCCACTTATTGTTGGTTAGAACATTGTGAAGCTAGTCATCTGCAGGAACCAGGTTAGGTAATACATATCCCTTTGTGATATGCCTAACATGATATGGCTCACAGCCAGGCCTTTAGTTGGTACATCTGCATTGTAAGATGATGATATCATTTATTACAGGACCAGTATCCTGTTTGTGATTAAAGAACTGGGAGTATCAAGGGACTTAGTAACTATCTCAATCTCACCCCCTGAAAGATACAAATTCATCCTGTTTAGGTGTACTGCCCTCACCCAGAGGCCAATACTTTTTTGTGCATATTCCATCAACAACATTTGCAAGTGAGGTCAAGACATTTAACTTCAAACAAACCCCGCCAGAGCATATGACCTTGAGACTGAAAACCACAGAGTGAGGACAAAGTGAAGGACCATTTTATGTACTTCCTGGACACCACAAATATTTTTTCAGGCCAAAGGTCATTACATGGGATGCTCTCCTGCAAATTCAAAAGAAAGGGAAAACATTAGAATGGCCCGACAAGTGATTTGTAGTGGCGTGCTCCAAAACCTCAGCACAGTGCACAGCTGGAATGAATGAATGAATGAATGCAAGCATGAATGAATGAATCTTCACTCCTGATTTGAATGACTCTCCTGCTAGAATGTCCTCTGAAGGCTCCATACTATCGCTACTTAAGGTGCCCTTTGAGCTTCATTGATTTCAAAGGTTCTCATTCTCAGCAGTGTTGATTTTTTTTTAACCTGTAAGGATACCTGGGACTTCATGAACTTCAAAAATGGTTTTTGCTGATGCTTAATATAAATGGAAACTATTGCAAATTGCTACTTTAAGGCACTTACTTTCACTTTATCTCAGTGCTTAGGATTAAAATGTTAAATGCCATGTTGCACCCTCTCAATATGTGCCAGTTTGGCCTATTCTTTCCCGGCTGCTAATTGGGCTCCCGTGTACCCAGCACGTGCAATGAATTATTGGAGGGACCAGCATTACATGATTTTTACCACATTTTCAGGGCTGTGCGAGACAAATTGTATTCCTTTTCCGAGAAGCATAGAAACATGCTCAGTTATTTTTAAACTAGAGGTTCAGTGCACGAAATTCATGAATTCAGGGGGAGGGTCCCCTCAGTCCAGCCTGCACCCTTTTGCAGTCCAGGAGCCCTTGGGGGATGTCCAACTGATGGCTTAGGCCCACAATCAGACATCCTTAGTGCTGCCAGAGGCAGGAGAAGTACCCAACACCGTTAATGCGATCACCAGCTGTGACCCCAGCTTCTGGCTGAGCAGTGTTCCCCCTGTGGGAGAACACACCAACCACCAGAAGGCAGCTCCTGCTTTGACCATCTGCCTCCTGGTGGTCAGTGCCTGTCACAGCCACCGACTGTTCTGCCATTCAGACAATCTGCACATAGCCTTTCATTATGTAGGCTGGTTTTTAAAACAGAAGCTCTAGGTCCACCCAGAGTCATATCTTTTACAGTATCTATTGTCATTGCCCTGTCAGAAAATTATCTTAATCCTAATATAATTATATCATGCTAGATTTATTTTCCTCCCATCATTTATCATCCAGCAAATTTACAGAGGGTTAGATTCAGCAATTCATTATTCCAAGAACAATGCTTTGAATGTAGTTAAGTGCTTTATAAATGTTAAACTAAAAACATGAACCCTGGCCAGGTGGCTCAGTTTGGTTGGAGCATCATCCCAAACACCAATAGGTTGTGGGTTTGATTCCCACTCACGGCACATGCCTAGGTTGTGGGTGCAATCCCTAGTCAGGGTATATACAGGAGCAATTTATTGATCTCTCTCTCTCTTTCTCATGTCAATTAAAAACACACACATAGCCTCAGGTGAGAATTTAAAAAAATATAAGAATATACTAAACATATTCAAGCTTAGGATATTTAAAATAAAGGGTAGTTAAAAACAATTAAATAAAGACCTTTCTCAGAAGAAATAAAGAAAAGGCAGAATGGATTTTTTTAAATGCAAATCTTTTTTTTTTTTTAAATCACATCAACCTGAAAAACAAATCAAGTTTGTAGAAAAGTATAAATAGGTATAAATAAATGTATCCTTTAAATCAAATTCAATTAGTCAATCCTAGAATTTTTATATTTTATTCTTGACTTTCTTGAGCATTAGTTTCCTCATTTACAAAAAGAGAGTTCATTCATTTGTTCACAAATATTTTCTGAATGCTTAGTATGTGCCAGGCTTTGGTGTAGGCTCTGGAGACACAGTGGTAAATAAAACAAGTACAGTTCCTGTCTTTATGTGCTTATACTCCAAGGAAGATCATTCTTACTATCCCATAGAATTGTTCAGAACACTGGATGTTTTTGTAATTAAGTGTTTTTTGAGTTTCAAAGTGCTGTATAAACCCAAGGTTCTTGAATGTGATCTTATTCCTCTTATCTCCTATAATTCAGTAAGTTTTAGTAAATGGTGATTGGGGTAGTTTGTGTTTCAACACTGCCACATCTGACCACTAGAGGTCCTCACCAGTCATACCCAACCCTAATCCATTCTAACTATCATATTCATCCATTCCAATATAACTTCTGAGGTAGTTTAGCAAAAAAGCAGTTAAGGAAGTTGGTCCTTTTAAATGAAAAGGGGTTAATTATAATAGATAACACATGTTATGTGCCCACAAATCACACAATAAGTAGTGTTCTGTTCCTGGCTGAATACAGAAAATTAAGAAATATTTTATAACTAGAGGCCCAGTGCACACAATTTGTGCATGGGTGGGGTCCCTCAGGGTGGCCTGTGGAGATCGGGCCCTAGCTCACAGCCCCAGCCTTGCAGCCCTGTCTGGCACCTTGCCTTGGCCTGGCGCCACCCACTTGCCCCACCCCCTGCCACCGCCACTGATCACCATCTGCGGGTGACTGGTGGGGCACTTGGAGCCCCCACTAACACACCCGCCAGCCCTGCTCCCCCCGCTCTGCTGGTCACCATCTGTGGGGTCATCAGCAGGGCAATCAGGCTCACACCCACCTTGGCCTGGTGCCACCCACTCACCTGCTCCACCATCCTGCAGCGGTCCCGCTCTCATTGGGGCCCTTTGGGGCCAGCAGCACTTCCACTGCCTCCCGCTGCCAGCACCATGTCGCTGATGCCCAGTAGGTTCCACGCAGCCCCTGGTGGTTAGCACACATCTTAGCAAGCAGTTGAACTCACAGTCGAACTCCCCCCAGAGGGAACAATTTACATATTAGGCTTTTATTATATAGGACTAGAGGCCCATTGCATGAAGAGATTCGTGCAATAGGCCTTCCTTCCCCTGGCTTCCAGCACCCGTTTTCCTCTGGCACCTGGGACCCAGGCCTTCGCTCCAGCCAGTCTGCCTTCTTCGTCTTTGCTGCAGACACCAGAGTCAGCAGTCTTTGTCTCTTTGCTGTGACCAGAGTGCGGCTACTATAGATCCCTTCGTCCCCTCCCCCTCCCCCTACCCCCATCCTTCCTCTCACAGCAGGAGTCCTGCCCCCAATCAGCCACTCCTTGCCTGGAGCAGCTGGGCGGCTGTCATCTTTCTCCTTCTAATTTGCATATTCCCTCCTGATTAGCTGGTGGGCCTAGCAGAGTGATGGTTAATTTGCATGTTTCTCTTTTATTAGTGTAGATACTTTATCACTACAGTCTCTCAAAACAATCCTCTTCATCACCATTCATGATTGTTTCAAAGTAAATCAATGTCTACATAATTTTTAATGGCTACATGGTCTTCTATCTTGTGGTCATATCAATATTAATGACATGCTATGATTAAGATTTCTCCAAGATCAAGTCTTATTGTGCTTTTCTACAAGAATAGTATATCTATAGAAAAAAAAAGCTTAAATTTAATAAAACATGTCTATATTTTAGATTTACTGTAAAATTCTTTGTAAATATTTTCCTATTACCCAAAATTTCATAAAATAAGTTTAAAACTTTTACATTCACAAATGGTTAGGAAATTTTAATAAATATTTTGTCTAAGTACTGTTTTTCTTTTTTTACTTTTTTTTGAAACATCACAAGGAGTATGTAGTGAATTAACTGCTTTTTATAATTGCTCTGATCATGAATATAGGAAAAATACAGTACTTTAAAACTATTCTCACTGTATTAAACTTTCATTAAAGCGGACTTATAGAAATTGAAAATTCCTACAATCAGTAACTTTCTGTGAATACAATACTTGTGTGATCTATAGAATTCTGCTTTAAAAATTGATAAATTAGTTGTTATCTCCGAGATTAATAATATGAATCTAGCCATACTGAGACAAACTTTTAACAAATACAGTGTCTTGGGGATTAACTACTGTTACCTAATGACAAAACCTTTTAATGTCCTGATGCAGTGAAATAGTTCCACGAGTATAAGGAAGGCATTTTAAATAGCAATAAAATTAAAACTATTCTCAAATTTATGAATGCTTCATATATGCAATTTCTCACATGAACCAAGTGATCAGAACACACAAAGAAAACAACTGAGAACTTGGTATATACGCTTACATTTTAATACTTGAGAAAATATAAATCTGATACAAAAACTGCTGGCACAAGGAAAGGATTACACAAATTTGTATTCAAATAGTGTCAGTATGTGAACCCAGATGTAAGAATGTATCAGAACACCAAAACAGCCTGCTATGGAAGCCTTTTAAAGAAGAACAGACTTTAAGATCACAGAGATAAATAAACTGCAGAAGGAACAGTAATTTTCTTTTCCCAGAAAATCTCCTTCATCCATTAAGAACTGTAAACTCACTGTGGGAGGAAAGTTAGAGGAAATCTAATTTATCAAGACATTTTGTAGATATAACACCTATTATAAGACCATATAATGTAAAAACAATCAGAATTTCATGATCCTCTGAAGATTAATTGGATATATTAGTCATTTTAACATGGCAAAAAACTTTATTCCATTCTTTTTTGAAAGTACACATTATTTCTTCTTCTAGTTACTTCAGTAATTTAAGCTTAATATTAACTTATTAAATATTAAACACAAAATTGTTTTTACAATCTTGCACTATTATTAAAAAGAAAAACTTCTTTCCAACTTTAATAATATATTTTTTTAATTGTGAAAATGCCCTTCTTTAACAGCATTTGAAAATAAATTTGAAGAAAGTATCTATCAGGCATTGTTTATTTCAAAAAACCTTTATTTTAGGATAAAATTCATTCAACATGATTATAAATGGAGAAATTCTCTATTAATGAAAAATAAGTTTACAAATCAATTTCCAATTTTAAAAAAAGCAACACATAATTCTTGGAATTTGTGTGAGGTGTTTGAAGACTCTCCACACATAAATTCACATATTATAAAATTTACTTAAAGTCAGAGATTGGCTGTAATATCATTTACTTTTTTTTTTTTAATTCTAGAAATTACTTATAGAGAAGTATTGTTTCCTCTTACAAGGAAATAAACTCCTTCTTCTTCTTTGAAAGGTAAAAATTCTTCCTCTTTGAAAGATGTATTAAATATTACTGATCATTAAAAATGGAAGCTTCTAGCATTTCTTGAACACTGACTTCACTTTCCAAAGATGTACATGTTATCTCTCTCAATGCCCAGATCAACAGCAGAACTAAGCCAAATATTTGGTGACTCTCTTTTATGAAGAAAAGCATTAATTATACCCAAACTAGCTTGCATATATTTTTTACTTTAACTATACCCCTCAAACAAAAGGTCACTTAGTTTTATACAAAGTTTTCTTACATTATAATCTACACAGCATTAGTAGTCAGTTTGAGATGCTTATTCTCTTGATTGCACATTTGTGTAAACCATTATTTTTCCTTAGAAAAATACATTACAGTTTAAAATAGAGAAACACAAACCTCAATATTGAATATAATAATCTGTGATAACCGATAATACTGTAAAGTTATTAAAAACACCCCTAAAACTTTTGAAAGTACATTAATGTTTTAAATATTCACAATCTCTTAAAAAACAATTTACAACATCACCTTAGATTGATTGGAGTCTATGTGGTAATACATAATGTTTCTTGGAGAATCTGACTACAGAGCAGAAAATGTTGCATATAAACTGTTACTTGTCATTACAAAACTGAAGGCAGCATGATTTATAAAAAAAAATTAACATAGTGGAAGAATCTAATTAAAACTAGCATTGTGCCTTCTAAAGAAAAATAACCACATGAAAGAATTTTTATGCAGCACCATTCTAAGCTTCTTTACTGCCTTAACTTTAAGCCTGTTAAAATGTAATTCTGATGTTAAATTATATTAATGTAAAAATTCATATCTGCACTGGTAGGAAATTACATTATTGAAAATATTTTCAATATGCTAAAAGCTACTAAATCAGTTTCCCCTTTCCCACTGCACATCCATCTAAAATGAAATACATAAATTATTATAAATAATATTAAAATGTAGATTTTACTAAATTTCTATTGACCTTTCAATATCTTAACTTGTTACTTTTTTTAAACCAAAATATTACCAATGTTAATAAGCGAAAAAATAGTTCCCACGGGGCAAGAGTGGCTCGGTGGTTGAACGCCAACCTATGCACCAGGAGGTCATGGGTTTAATAGCCAATCAGGGCACATGCCTGGGTTACAGGCTCAATCCCAGGTGGGGGGCATGCAGGAGGCATTTGATCAATGATTCTCTCTCATCATTGATGTTTCTATCTCTTTCCCCCTCTCCCTTCCTCTCTGAAATCAATATATATATATAAATCAATTTTATATATATATATATATATATATATTTATACATATATATATATATATATATATATATATATATATATATATATATATATAAAATCCGTTCCCTCTGATTTGGGAAGCTTAAAAAAAAAGTAGTAAGCATTTACCAAACCCACAATAACACCAACATAATGAGCGGCAGCCCTTGGTACTTAGTGCTGTTTGATCAGACAATCCTGATCAGAAAATAAAGTTAGGTGCCTTTTGAAAGACAAGTGCCAAACTGTTGCTATTTTACTAAAATGCAGCAGCTAATATTAAAAGCAGCGTCGTTGCTATTATTAGCAGGTATGCAACCTCTGTATAAAAATATAAACCTATACTTAGTATTTAAAAATATAGCAACCGTAGTTATAGCTCTAGTAGTGTTATTTGACTTTACAGTCCCCTTAGAGGGCAGACATTAACAGATTCTATGTACTTAAAATCAGATAAATGTTTATCATTCATAAGAACCGTGTGATAATTTTACAGCTGCCTGCCTCAAGCTACGGAGACCTCAGATCTGGAATTCTGATGAGCCCTCTCCTCACCACCCCTCGCTCCATCCCAGCCTGCACCCCACACTACTGTACTTAATGTCTGACCGATTTGGACAAACATAAACAGAACTTTTTAACTAACACATTCACTCCCTTCTTGTTCTGTGTGTTTGTTTTTTTAAGTGACACATTTGTATTTATTTCCTAGGTTTCTTACTTCCAGTCATAACAAAATAGTGATCATCATCGTCCTTTTTCTTTGCGGTGGGCTTTTTATCCCCGTTCACTGCCTCCTTAACGGACGAGGGTGGTTTCCTGGTGGAAGCCGGGGCTCTGCCAGCTTTGGGAGGCCCTCGGGGTGCTCGTGGGCTCCTGGAGTCGGTCTGGGCGGCCTTTGACACAGGGGGTGCTTTGGCCGAAGACTGGGGCAGGCTCACCACGGAGAGCGGGGTGCGCCCGGGGGACTTGGAGGAGCCGGGGCCTGTCTTCTGGGATGTGCTTATCTGCTTTCTGGCAACTGACACTATCTTCTTCTCTTTCGGTTCCCGTGCTTTTGCAGCAGCGCCTGAGGCCACAGAAAGTGGCTGGTGTAAGTTCAAGGCTGACTTGAGTTTCTGTGCTGGCCCGGCCCCTGCTTGCGGGGCTCCGTCTGCAGGCTGAGAGTGTGTTCCTAGACCTGGGGTTCCGGTTTTGGAACCGGGTTTCGTCATTCCTGCAGGGGACTGGACAGCAGGAGAAGGTTTAGGCAGCTTCGGACACTTCGATGACGAATTCCAATGTGCAGCTGAGTGATCTACTGCATTATCCCTGGAGGGTATGTGATTGTGTTTCAAATGCTTTGGTTCCGTTTTCCCCGAACACTTATTTGGCAGAAGGGTAGACTTGGGCACGTCTCTCGATTTCTGGGCTGGAGTCAACTTGGCCTTCGGAGCGCTGGGTGATGAGATACATTTTCTCAATGGCTCAGAGCCACAAGGTGCGGTTCTTGGTGAGGCTGGGGAAGACGTGTTTTTACCTCCCAAAGTTACAGAAGCGAGTGGAGACGCTGCGTGGTGGGGAGGAGCCTGTGGATTCCTCGTTGTGCCTTTTGAAGGTGTGAGTTTGAGACGAGAAGATGCTGCTGGGGGCTGTGGCATTTTTGAACGGACTGACATGGAGCCCGGGTGACCTCCTTTCAGGGAAGGTGCTGGCAGCTTTTCTTTGCTCCTTGGAAAACCAACTGGCGTGCCCGGTTTTGATTTCTCTTTCTGAATCATGCTAACTGCTGACATCGGATTCATTTCAGGAGGCTGAGGTGTTCTGGCAGGTGAGTCAGGCACACTTTCATTAGAAACGCCTTTTTGAAACGCTAGAATTTTTTGTTCGAGTGTAGCAAACTGTAGTATTCGACAGGGGTCATATTTAAGCAAAAATCCTTGAAGGGTATCCCAGCCTCCACCAACACGGACCATGACATGTTTTCCATGAAGCATCTTTCCCCAAAAGAAAGTAAAAAACAAAGTTGTAAAACTGTAAGGTTCACAGTTACAATTCACCAGTTAGTAGTCACAATTTGTGATGACTGTGATCTATGAATTTCAGAGTATTTGCCAATAGCTTTACTGTAAAATGACAGTCCTTCCTTTATATTATTGAAGGAATGAATTTAATCTATATTGAATCATGTAACTGACAAACAGTATCCTCCAATTTGTAAGAATTTATTTACACACAACTTGCATCCTAAACAATCCAATTACTAATATACAAAGTTGCAAGGGCAATCTTGTTCAACAAAGAATCGAATGTTGAAGAAATAAGAGAAAAGAGAAATGGGAATTTACAGGGGGAAAAAGCCTCATAAAAAAGCAATTATTATGAAAGATAACAACACTAAAATTTGTACTTTACAATTTAATAAATTACTTTCATATGTATTATATCAATTTAAATTTTCAAAAAAAAATTTGATATAATTTTGATATAATTTACTACTAGTTCCTCGTAGATGAGAACATTACGGCTCTGAGAGATTAAGAAAATTGTCCCAAATCACACAGGATGGCCTGGCCTCAAATACACCAGGCTTCCCCAACCCAAATGGTGCTTTTGTGTGGATAAGGTACATCCTGAGTCTGCTAAGTCAGAACCAACTGGATTTCAGCACCCTGACCCCCATCCATTAAACAGGAACATCTGCACAACTGTATGAGATTGCCCTAACATTTCACCTCTAACCCCCATGCGCTGTGCGCTATCACTACGTCATACTGCTTTGAAAGAGAAAGCAAACTAAAAGAAAGTACACAGAGGCGTTTCTGCATGTTGGGGTTATGGGGAAGTAATGATAATATATAAAATAAAAGAAAGTATGGATGTCAAAATTATTTTTAAATACTTTTATATTCTATTCCTAAATTCGGAATAAAACAGTTCTTTTATACCAAGTAGACAGAATGCTGAACAGTGAAACTTCAATCTCCTCAGCAAAGGAGATGATCAGTTTAGACTGCAGATGAGACAGAGGAAGGAAATGAACATGTATATCAGCATATTGGTATATATACCGATGCTGTGTCGATGTAAAAAGGTTTTATACTTAACACACAATGTGTATATTACTATAAATGGCAATGTTTCTATTTTCTTTCCTTATTACCGACATTTAATCAGATTAGATGCGTTGGTTTTTTATGATGATGAAAAATGATTCTTTTTTAGAAAATCTGAAAAATGGAATACGTTACCTGAGATATACAAGCATTTCCTCCCCCAATTATATTCGATGTCAAAATAGCCTCCTGCAGTTAGCAGTTTGCTGTTAAAGGTGTTAACCTAAATTCGTTATATATTCATGAGAGTAAGAGTTCCGTATTTTTTTGTGCAGTGAAATTCTTTCATTAATAACACCAATTTTTAAAAAAGTAAAAGCGGAACAAAAGATTGGTAAAGCAATAAACAATTTTAAAAAAAAAGATCTGTGTGTAAATAGGATGTAAATGGTGGACTTACTCTTATAAAGAGTATTTTATCTCCTAGTCGGTACCGTCCTTCAGATAAGTATTCAATAGAAAACCGATGAGAACAACTGCAAGGGGGATCTTCAGCAATGTGTGTAACCTGAGATAAAGTAACAATCAGTGCTTGTGACAAAAAGTATTTTATTCAACACTAAAATGCAAGGTTATTTGACAGCTGGGAAAATCAAACTCAAGGATAAAAATTTAAAGACAATTCCACTTTTAACTATCTCTTCTCCTTCACTTGTTGACAAATACTGAGATTAAACATTAGCCGGCCCGTTAAAACTAGCAGCGCCGCAGTCCTGAGTCTCCCTTTTTCTCCCCAGTGCGGGCTTGTGCTGCTTCACGGACCACGGGAGAACGCTTGTGAACGTGACAGAGTCGAGTCCATTCAAAGCACTTTCGCTAAGCCACATGAGTTCATTAAGTCTGAATTCTTGTAAGCCCTGGACTAATGCATCTCTGTCAAATCAAAGACAGGCCAGTCAGATGGAAGCTTCTGTAAAAGCTTTCATTTGTCCCTAACACTGTGCTAACTTAATATGAGGTAATATCCAGATCTGTTCCAAAGTTACTTTTACAATAGGCAGAGACATTTATATCTATTCCTCCAAGATTCGGTACAATTCTAAAAACTGCAATGCAAGAGGCATTTTCTAAAAGTGCTCACTTTGTTTTAATAATCTCCTAAGGAGAGGAGAGTTGGGGAGAAAACCCTAATTCTACCCCTCAAGAACCTTATAAAATTTTTAATTATAACAAATATCTATAAAATGTTAAAAACTAGAATAAATATAAAAATACTATAGACTGTCATTACATTACGCACTTTCCAAATTTTTATTAGTAATGACTTATTTTTTTTTAATTTTGTAAATTAAGCACTTTCATAAAAAAGACCACAAAATCTAAGCAACAGCCAAAGCAGAAACAATGTTTGATACTCAGATCACCTCCATTCCTTGTCAAACTGTAGTCACTGCAGAAGGCACAGCCTGACCAAATGCAATTCTATTAACTTCTACATGATGATAAACAGCTAACGTTAAGAAAACTTTCCAGTTGAGACTCGCCATCTAACATATTCTGTCACGGGGAGCGTCCAGAAAATCCCTAGCAATCGGCTCCCACAACTTTCTGCCATCTGTACTCTCCAAGTACCAGTGTACCCTTTACTTAGACACCTTAGAGCCAGCCCAGATTTCTCACTCCTTGTCAGAATTAGGATTCCTGCCAGTCCTACCTTCTAAATAGAAAAACACCTAGGCTCCTTTTGCCTTATTTCCACTACTACTGCTCGAGTTTAGGTTCTCATCATCCCATGACTGGATTATTACAATAAACCAACATAACTTCTGCATGGCCACGAGAGTAACCCTTATCATGTACAAATCAGATGTTA